TTAAGAGTGGAAAGGTAGCTCCAAAGAGTGTACTGCATGTAGTACGTGTTTACATTCCTCGCAACCCCTGCTGCTTAAATTGCTATGATTAGAGCACAGACTAACCAGATTGGTCATATGCTCTATACCTGGTTAGGCAAAGCAGACCTCTCCTCTAGTGTCCCAGCATGCCATGCTACAGTTCCATGAAAGGTTTTTTGACTGTAATTTGTTGCTTATAATATCCAGTCAATTTTTAACATGAAACAGAAAATTTATGAATTTAGTCTATTTTTAAAGATTTTTTATTTCGTATCCAAAGGATTCTTAAATATTCTTGAATACAGATGTCTGCTAATTGGTGGTGTACAGTACTTGTGCACAGAAGAACCTGCTCTGGAAAATATCGCATATTGTAGGTTTCAATTGATCTCTGTTCCTCTCTTATATCAGGATTAGAGTTTTTCGATTATTCCAAAAATCCCAATTTTGATTAGGTTCAGGTTCAGAATCCGGACCAGATATAGGTTTATGTTCAGGTTCAGGTTCAGGTTTTGGTTCGATCAGATTCAGATTCAGGTTTAGATTTAGGTTCAGGTTTAGTTTCTGGTTCAGGATCAGGACCAGATTAAGGTTTATGTTCAGGTTCAGGTTTAGGTTTTGGTTCGATCAGATTCAGATTCGGTTTAGATTCAGGTTCAGGTTTAGTTTCTGGTTCAGGATCAGAAATAGATTAAGGTTTATGTTCAGGTTCAGGCTTAGGTTTTGGTTCGAGCAGATGCAGGTTCAGGTTTAGGTTCAGGTTTGATTCAGGTTCAGATTTAGTTTCAGGTTCAGGTCTAGGTTCCTGTCTAGGTTTAGGTTCAGGTTTAGGTTTAGGTTAAGGTTAAGGTTTAGATTCAGGTTCAGGTTCAGGTTCAGGTTTAGGTTCAGGTTTTGGTTCGATCACGTTTAGGTTTAGGTTTAGGTTTAAATTCAGGTTTAGGAAGAGAATGAAAGGAAAAGCGAACCACGCCATGTATGCATCTGAACCACATTACTGGACTGAATTCTTAATATTTCTAAAAAATATATTCGGAGAATATTTCTGAGGAACAGAATATGAGAGACATGTGGCTCGGATGATATATATAGAAAAATGCGGCTTAAATGCAGAAATGATATGGTTTGCCCTCCTCCCCTCGTGGTATAGATGCTGGGAGATATTGGAAACTATAAACCCTGATTTCCTTTCTCATTTGCCCTTTGCACAGAAAACAGCTCAATCAAACTTATTCACATAAAACTTTTTATGAGATCGATTATGGAAAAACTTTTTATATTCTTTCACAAATTTCTCCGCGTACTTTTTAGTTTAGAGTTGGATATTTAGCAATTTCATAGAGAACCCCAAAATTAAAAATAAACTATTTTCTTATTTGAAAACATGGATGTCTCAGTCAATATTGATCATAGAAAACTATTAAGGACACCGGGGCCACTCTGAAATTTGAGGGTGACTTAATATTACGTGTATGGTCCCTTGAAAACTATAATTGTTCTATGAAATCCCTCCGAATATCTGGGTTCTCAAGGTTAATTGTAATATCGAGTTTTCCAGCTAAAAATTGTGAATCTGATCTTTACAACATGGAACCTGCCTGCTGCACGTAGGCCCAGGAGAATGTTTCCAACATGAAACCTGCCTTCTCCACCCAGGCCTGTAGAAGGGTTCCAACATGAAACATGACTACTTCACCCAGGCCTGGAGAAGGGTTCCAACATGAAACCTGCATACTGCACCCAGACCTGGAGAAGGGTTCCAATATGAAACCTGCCTACTGCACCCAGGCCTGGAGAAGGGTTCCAAACTGAAACCTACCTACTGCACCCAGGCCTGGAGAAGGGGTCCAACATGAAACCTGCCTTCTCCACCCAGGCCTGTAAAATGGGTTCCAACATGAAACATGACTACTGCACCCAGGCCCAGGAGAAGGGTTCCAACATGAAAACTACCTACTGCTCCTAGGCCCAGGAGAATGTTTCCAAACTGATACCTGTCTTCTCCACCCAGGCCTGTAGAAGGGTTCCAATATGAAACATGCCTACTGCACCCAGGCCTAGAGAAGGGTTCCAACATGAAACTTGCCTGCTGTACCCAGGTCTGGAGAAGGGTTCGCACATGAAACCTACCTACTGTAACCAGGCCTGGAGAAGGGTTCCAACATGAAACCTACCTACTGCACCCAGGCCTGGAGAAGGGTTCCAAAATGAAACCTACCTACTGCACCCAGGCCTGTAGAAGGGTTCCAACATGAAACCTGCCTTCTCCACCCAGGCCTGTAGAAGGGTTCCAACATGAAACATGACTACTGCACCCAGGCCTGGAGAAGGGTTCTAACATGAAGCCTGCCTACTGCACCCAGGCCCAGGAGAAGGGTTCCAACATGACAACTTCCTACTGCACCCAGGTTTGAGAGGGATTCCAACATGAAACCTGCCTTCTGCACCAGCCTCAGGAGAAGACCAGGTTCCATGAATTAACAAAAAGTTTAGACTACATTATTTAAAAAAAGTACACAAGGGGGTTTCTTGGACCTATATGAATCCTGTTAAAATCATAACAAATATCATATCATAAACGTTCAAGAAAAACATCAATTTCTAGTTTAATGAGCATAAAGAATCCTTTTTGATTGTGTTATTGAATGCAATATAGTGGCTAACTTCTGTTTTGCTTAAAAACTAATTATAATATTAAAATCGAGAAAAATACCAAATCTTATCATAAAAGATATTTAATTTTAAGTAATGATAAGAACCCAAATGCGCAAAAGGACATTTTATTGACTTAGAAATGTAATGCAACAAGAAATTTTTTATTTCAATAATGTATAAATAAAGTACGGTTTTGAAAATTATTTAAATTTGTAGGCCTCATATTTTCTTAAAATCTACAAAACAATTTTCTGTTCATGGCGCCGGTCTGACTTGTTTTTCCGACAACTTTTTAAATTTAGCTTTTAACCATTAATTTTATATTAGAATAGTTGGATAAATATTTGGATAAAGTAAAATATGAAGGAGAATATCCCCCCTCGGCCTAAACCCAGGTGGTTATTTTGGAAAAAGTTAATTGTTTTCTATATATTGTATATACTATATATATATAAACTTTACTGCCCGGTTCAGCCAAACTTTACTTATAAACCACAGAATATAATTGATTTATGGAGGGAGGGGGTTGAACCCTCCCCTCCCATTGACAAGATTGTATACTGCAAGCTAGAACTAAAACAAGAATTGACTTTAACACGACAAATGACATAATGAAAATAGGAGAATGCTAGAAAATGAGAGTTTTTGGAAACTTTAATGTAAATGACATTTATTTTTAAAGTGTGAAATGGAGAGAGAAAGTAAAAATGTAGAAACGGGTGTGTAACAAATTGAGGACGGGAGATTGGATGAGGAAAACTCAAGGAAAATTTGAAACGTGAAAACCAAGATCAAATTGAAGACCTTGATATGAAAACTGGAAAAAATTGTCAAGATTATAATTGAAACTTTTCACATACATCCCTGTTTACGATAAATATTTGCAGTATTTACAATACAGAACAGTACAGCATAAAAATAAAGAAGTATATTCATCAGAAGTTTAGTAAAACTACATATTTCTTTTTAATATTATGTAACAAATTATACAATCTGAGACCAAAAATAAGAAAATTGCGAATGCAAACATGGTTAAGGGAAAGAGAGGTGGACCAACTTAGTCTACATGGTTCAACTATTACTGCAAATAGACCGGGGGGAGAAGGATGCATTTATGCAATAATTACTGATAGGACTTTCTGACCTCGCAACTCCTCCAGTTCTGATTTTACTCACAAGCATGAGAAAACCGAATTATTTGTTTATATATTAAAGATTTTAAACATTTTTTTATTATTATTTTTATGATTGAAAACATAAAAGATTTCAACTTTACTTGCAATTTATTTTGGTTTGACGTGCTGTTTAAATTGGTCCCACACATACCAAACAATACAAATATATCAAACTTAAAGGGACTGTAAAGGAAAAATGAAAGGGGGTATAGGCTGAAACTTGAGATTCTCAGGGGTTGAAGGATACCTATAAGACACCTATCTGATGTTCCTGTCGATCTAGAGATATTGAAACATAACTGTTTCAAATTTATGCGAAAATTCATATATATACATGCAATTTTGTTTAAAAGTTCTAGTATTAAACAGATCATATTCAACAAATACGCAATCAATCTGAAAATGACGATATCCCACAGGAGCCTGAGAATCTCATGTTTGGTCCTATTTTATTTTTTTTGTTTATTTTGCATCTTTAATAGATATAATTGATAATATTATTACGTATAGTCCGTATTACGTCACCAGAACTTCAGCCAATGGCAGTAGTATACTGATCACATGATTTTGTAGACATTGACATAAATATAAATTGGTCAAATAAAAGGTCGCTATGGATGATATGGTTACTTTTTTCTGGGGTTTTATCTATATTCTGGTGTCTAGATATTTCAATCCCCCCCCCCCACGACCTAAACCGTCTCCTCAGTTCTTAAGATATGATGGATGGCGAAATATTTACTCAGAACAATCTTTGGTCTGAGATAAATCTGGTAATATTTCAGCAGAGGGGGGTAATAGTAGATGTTAGGTACTTTCCAAAAGGATTTTTTCTTAAGTGGCAACTTCCCAAGGGTATTTTCCCAAGTGGCAACTTTCCAAATGTGCAATTTCCCAAGTTGGGAAGTTGGCACTTGGGAAAAATCCTTTGTGAAAGTACCTAACATATAATAGGACATCCAAGAGATGGGAGAGAGTTAATAGTACAATGTCCTACTAGTCTTATACCCGTCCACCTAGTCTTATATCCGTCCTTTAAGTCAAATATCTGTCCTACTAGTCCTTTCCATCCTACTTGTATTTTATCCTTCCTATTATATTCGTCCTACTAGTCAAATATTCGTCCTACTAGTTTGATATCCATCCTACCTTCGGAGAAGAGTTTGTTCTGAATGGATATTCTGCTGGGTCCCTGTAGACTCTCTCCAGGATACAGATGATATCCGTTCCCACGCCGGACAGTCGGATATTTGTGACTCTCCTCCCTCCGCCCTTCCAGGAAATTATATCCCTCCGCCCTCCGCCGTTCTGGATACCTATATCCGTCTAACCTCCGCCTCTCTGTGAACCTGTATCCGCTCTCGCTTTTATATTTCTCCTCACTCCGTTGTTCCGGAGGATAGAAGATGTTTTGCGTCCTAACTTTCTCCTCCTTTCGACCCAATGCTTCTATTTTTCGTCCTGCTGGGTAAATCTCTCCGGTCTCTCTATCTCTTCCAGGACACAGTTTCTCAGGACTAATTTTAGCTGGAGCGGAGAGTTTTAAAACCTCTTTCCGTCCTCTATACCTGAATTTTTCCTCAGTTAAAACTCGTCCTTTCTCCGGGTTCTCTTGGTATTTCTCAACCTGGTGTAAAAAAAACTTCATTGGGATCCGATATTAATCAAAGAGAACAGAATATATTAGAGCGGAATTTAAACAATCCCTCTGTATGAAATTTGTCAGTCCCTTTCGGCCTGAAAGGGAGTTCAAAGTGTACAATTCAGGTAAATGTTCACAAATTATACGCAGTACATCACACTAATCCAGTATGATCCCTGGACATATCCATTCCAATTTCTTTGTTTTATAAAGTTGTTAAATAGCTTAAAACGTGTGTATTTGCTATAGGTGAATTAAAAATTAAATTTAAAAATCGTCGTTTGTAAAGTGAATTTAATAAGAAAACTTTTCTATAAAATGATGTTCCAGGACCCAAAAGGTTACAAAGCACAAATGTGTGAAGTACACCTGCACTATGGAAACAGTACAACAAAATGGCCGTTTTACACTTTTTTCGAGTAAATTCCACTCTAATATATTCTATTCTCTTTGGAATTAATATTACAAATAAAGACGACATAACAACGACATAACAACAACATAAAGAGGAAATCAAGCAGTGATTTCGATATCCACATTTCTAAAGTTTTCAGATCAGCTAGAAACAAAACTAAGATATTACTATAAAAATGTTGTTGATACCTGGGTTTCTGACTTCTCGTGTTTTTCAGGGTTTGGATAATTGATATTTTCACTCCCAGGGATTAAACACTCACTAGGAGATTCTGCTACACCCAACCTTAATAGATATTGTATAATCAATCAAAAATATTTCTACCAGAACATGTCTTCCTTGAATTTAGATATTTTATCCTTTTTTAACCCCCTATTTTTTTCAAGAATTCTGATAGATGAAATATGTTTAAGTTTGAGATATCAATGGTTCACACCATCAGGTTGCAAAAATATAGGTATTAGAAATTTTGAAATATACATAGTTCTTTACTCCCAGATTCATTTTTCGTTAAACTAATGTATTCTCACCATGTTTAAACAAAAATTACACTGGTAGCTTAAAAAGATAGCTTATATCAGGTAAATTTCATTTGGAAGCAGTTTCCTCTGGAAATTAGGCCAACACATTTGTTGTCCTAACTCTGAAATTAGATTCCTAATGAAATAGAAGCTTTGTAATAATTGGATTATCCTCAGATCAAATGCATCTCTCCTGTGGTCAAATATATAAATCTAAGAAATCCTTGAAAAGTTTTGATTTTGTGTTGAAACTAACCTCGGTTGGAAGATCTGCTCTGATCCTAGTTCTTTAATCTCCGAGATACTAGATCCGTCCTTCCAACTTTCTCCTGCAATACAGTCAAGTTTAATCATGGAGAAAAATCTAGAACTAGGTGAAACAGACACGTACACGTAATTTAGATCGAACCTGAGTTGGGCTTGTCAGATTCACAAGGGTACTTTTGTCTGATCAGGGGGTGAATAAGATATCATTATTTGTGGTTTCTCTGGAAAAGTGACGAGTAGAATTATGGTACCGTTGTGAAACTGATATGCCACTCATTAAATGAGATTCATTTGTAATTACGTTAACAGTCCCTTTAAATTCAACAAAATAGATTAAGTTCATTCTCTCATTTGCGGGAAATAACCCGATGTATTATTGGTGGTTGAACTAGGTAGACGTGGTTCAACCACTTCTTCTCAGCTTGAACCGCAACAAAAGAATAGTTAAACTACGACTGTTTGATTCAGCTAATTTTTTTTATCGGATAGGGATTGTATTTAGAATGGATTAAGATAAATGTTCTAAATCTGTTTCTTCAATACAATATTAATCGAATCAATATTTTATAGAATAAAGAATGTTGAAAGGTATTCTGAAGCAATGCACATGTTTCTAAAATGTTGAAACAAATTCTAAGAAAAGAAATTCTTTTTTCTTTTCTCTTTTTCATTTGGAAGAATTCCCTTGTGATTGGTTGTGAGTACGTTTAAGACAAAGATGATAGGAACTGGCGGAAAGTGAAAATACTTCTTTCCTGCAGATTTTATTTAGTTTAAAAATTGTTAAAACTATTTAAGTTTTGAAGCTCGAACCTTATTTTATGAAAAAAGTTAAATGTTTTGGTTTGGTGTAAATATTTAGTTTTCAAGATCTCAACATTTATTTGATAGAGTACGAACTTCAAAATGGAAAATTACTCTTTTAAATAGAAATAGTTGTTTAAGAAACAAATTAGAAAATCAGAGTTTGTGGCAAAGACTCCGTTCTTTTCTGGATATTCATTAACATGGCTTTTTATCTTTAAATTAAAATATATTTTTTCTTGATTAACACTTCACATTTTTTATCCGCAAGAGAGAGAAATCAAAATTAGAAAAGAATTCATCTTGAATTTTAAAATCATTTCCCTCGCGGCAATTCTCACCGTGCTGAAAACTGCGGAGCGCTGACACGGCTCAAATCATTTTGCATAAAGAGAAAAAGATTTCAGTTCTTTAGTATTTGAATATTCACAAAAGAATTGAGAAGGTTTATAACGCTCAGATGATGACAGGGGGATTTCATTTCTCGAATTACCCCCCTCCCTTCCCCCCACTTTTGTGGGGGCATAATTTTTAAAGCGGGAACTGATACTTCAAATTATAATTTTATTCTAAAAGACTTTTGAAATTTATTTCAGTATAAACTTTTAATTTAACAGGAGAAAGTAGGGGGGTGGGGGTATTTTTTGAAGAAATATCCCCCCCCCCTGAAATATAATCCTTCCTATTTCTCTAGGATGAGAAATCGTTTTCTCATGGATGAGAAGAAATTTGCAATGTTTGCATGGATGAGAGAACTGCATTGTTTTGCTTGGATGAAACATCTTTTCATTCTGCCTCAAGATGCGAACTTTTGATCGAAAGTATGTTTTTTTTTAAATTAAAAATAAACTTTTCTGTTGGTTTTCATTTAAAGCAAAACAGATGGTTTTTGGTGAAAATAAAAGAAAGAGAAATTATAATTTTTTACAACTAGTTTACAGGGAAGTTAAGGAAATTTTGCTTTTGAGATTAAAAAGGGCGTGTTTTTTCACAATTTTTACAGCGTGATTTTACTTTGTTTTCCCAAGGGACAGTTAAGTACCGATTTTAGGGGAATCATGGGTCAGAAATGTTGGTTAAAAGTCGGTAAAAAATATATAAAAGAATGTTACTTATTTTAAACTTAAGACTTCAGAGATTAAATGACAGATGACAGATATGGCAATCGTTGAATTTGAGGATTTTTCTTGATAATTTGTTTGGATGATTTTTTTAACAATAAATCCCGATTCAAATTCATAATTTTCGTTATTTTTAGGTCGTCAGTAAAGTCTCATACTTTCTGGGTGTTCACCCTGAAATAGTTTAATATATTCTAGTTTAAATACCAATATGTTCTAGTTTAAATACCAATATATTCTAGTTTAAATACCAATATATTCTAGTTTAAATACCAATATATTCTAGTTTAAATACCAATATATTCTAGTTTAAATACCAATATATTCTAGTTTAAATACCAATATATTCTAGTTTAAATACCAATATATTCTAGTTTAAATACCAATATATTCTAGTTTAAATACCAATAGATTCTAGTTTAAATACCAATATAATCTAGTTTAAATACCAATATATAATACTGCACAAAATATCATATAATAAAGGGTAATAATGAAAACAAATAACCTTTTGTAACTTTCATGGGGGTGGGAACCATAATTATCAAGGGCGAGGGAGGGGGTAAAACCCCAATATCCCCCCCATTAATAAGTCCCTAGGCCCTGCCCCTCATTTCTTGATATTGCCACAAACTCTGAGTTTTTTGCCCCTATATCTCTGCAACCCAATGTCGTTAAAGACCTTATATTTCAAACTATTGATTCAGTGAGATCAAATAATCTATGTTTGAAATATAGAAGGTTTTCACTATCATGTTGCAAAGATGTGGGGATTAGAAAATTTGAGTTTGTTTGTACTTTCCCGTAAAATTTGTTTGCTTGTTTCTTAACTAAAAAAGTTTTAAAAACATTATCTTGCGTTTTACTTCATACACAACCTCTTCATTCCTCGCACGTTCTAAACTTTTCAACAAATTAAAACTTTTATTTTAAATTACTAATTCTATACTTTACATTTTTTACTTTTACAATAATGTTTGGTTCAATGGGAACGTTTACTTATTTTAAATTAAACAAATATTTGAAATTTGGAACACAAGATGTTCCTAAACTCCAGAATAATCTGATACTTTTGTTTTAGTAAAAATATCAGAAAACCCGTGATTTTCGAGAATTTAAAGGGACTGTCTTTAACATTTTAAGTGACCCTTCATTTAAAAAACGTCATACCGGATTCACAACAGTAACCCTGAAACTTTTATCTGATAAATTACGTGAAAGATATTTAGTTCTGACAATTTCTTCATTGTTCCGAAAGCAATAAATACGAAAGTCAACTTACTCAACTCTAATTAGGAACAGTTCCTCTTAAAGAACCGTTCATCTAAAGGAACAGTTCCTCTAAAGGAACAGTTCCTGTAAAGGAACAGTTCCTTTTAAGGAACAGTTCCTGTAAAGGAACAGTTCCTCTAAAGGAACAGTTCCTCTAAAGGAACATTTCCTCTAAAGGAACAGTTCCTCAAAAGGAACAGTTCCTCTTAAAGAACAGTTCCTCTAAAGGAACAGTTCCTGTAAAGGAACAGTTCCTCTAATGGAACAGTTCCTCTAAAGGAACATTTCCTCTAAAGGAACAGTTCCTCTAAAGGAACTGTTCCTCTAAAGGAATGTTGGATAAAAAATATATTATTCTGTTTTTAACATATAATATTAATCATATATTCTACCAGTTTCTTACAGTTCTATTTTAAATTGATTACAACATTTATAGGATTTAAACATTTATCAAGAGTTCACAAAAAAATTTAAGTTTTTTTTAATTGTATAAGTCGTCTAAGTTTTCTCAGCTTTCATTGAACCTTTCTTCTGTATTTTTTAGGCCTTTAAAGTGTTCCAAGTTCAATATTATTAGTTCTTATTTTTGTTACGAATTAATAAGTTAGAATTTAACTAGATATTTAGAGTTTGTTGATTTTCTAGGTTTTACTAGATCTTTAGGCTTCGTAGGTTCTTCAGGTTTGACTAGATCTTTAGGATTTTTGGGTTCTCTAGGTTTTACTAGATCTTTAGGGTTTGAGGGTTCTCTGTGTTCCTTATGGTTCAAGAATTCGCCAGATATTGTCAATTCTCCGTATTTCGTTAATTCCAATTCTTTAATCGGATCGCCTTGTTTGATTGTTTCTCCAGATCTGATTTGTTCTCCAAATTTCAAAGTTTCTCCATATTTCATTGCATCACCAGATTTTATTGGTTTCCCAGATTTATTTTTTCTAGGTTTACTTGTTCCTTCAAATTTAATTGTTGTTCCTGATTTCATTGTTTCTCCAGATTTCATTGTATCTTCAGATTTCATTTTTTCTCCAGATTTCATTGTTTCTCCAGATTTCAATGTTTCTCCAGATTTCATTGCTCCTCCAGTTTTCACTGTTTCTCCAGATTTCATTGTTTCCCCAGATTTCATTTCTCCTCCAGTTTTCACTGTTTCTCCAGATTTCATTGTTTCTCCAGATTTCATTGTTTTTCCAAATTTCATTGTTTCTCCAGATTTCATTGTTTCTCCAGATTTCATTGTTTCTCCAGATTTCATTGTTTCTCCAGATTTCATTGTATCTCCAGATTTCATTGTTTCTCCAGATTTTGTTGTTTCTCCAGATTTCATTAGTTTTCCAGGTTTTTTTGGTTCTTCAGTTTTTATTAGGTCTTCAATTTTCTTTGGTTCTCTAGATTTTGTTAGTTCTCCGGTTTTCATTGGTTCTCCAGTCTTCATTGGTTCTCCTGATTTCATTGTTTCTCCTGATTTCATTGTTTCTCCTGATTTCATTGTTTCTCCAGATTTCATTGTTCAGATTTCATTGCTTCTCCAGCTTTCACAGTTTCTGCATATGTTATTGTCGCTCCAGATTTCACAGTTTCTCCATATTTCATTGTTTCTCCAGATTTCATTGTTTCTCCAGATTTCATTGTCGCTCCAGATTTAATTGTTTCGCCAGATTTCATTGTTTCTCCAGATTTCATTGTATCTCCAGATTTCATTGTTTCTCCAGATTTTGTTGTTTCTCCAGATTTCGTTAGTTTTCCAGGTTTTTTTGGTTCTTCAGTTTTTATTAGGTCTTCAATTTTCTTTGGTTCTCTAGATTTTTTTAGTTCTCCGGTTTTCATTGGTTCTCCAGTCTTCATTGGTTCTCCAGTTTTCATTGGTTCTCCAGTCTTCATTGGTTCTCTTGTTTTCATTGGTTCTCCAGATTTCGTTTGTTCTCCAGTTTTCATTGGTTCTCCAGAATTCATGGGTTCTCCAGTTTTCATTGATTCTCCAGTTTTATTTGGTTTTCGAGTTTTTAATGGGTCTCCAGATTTCATTGTTTCTCCATGCTTCGTTCGTTCTTCAGATTTCTTTTGGGTTCCGGGGTTTTTAGGGTTTTCAATTTTCTTTTTTTCAGGATTTTTGGGTTTTATTGCTTTCACAGTTTGTTCTTCTTTCTATTGAGCTAGTTTGTTTATTTTCTCTGTTTACAAGGTTTGAAATTAATTTCAACTGTTCGCGATTAATATATTTTAGTTGTTTGATAAAATTGATATAAATGATCAAAGTTGATAAAATTGATTATAGGATGAAGATTGGATGAAGTTAAGTCTGAGATAAATACTCTACAACAGGCAATATCTTCATCAATCTTTCTCTCTTCTCTCTGTTCTACTCTCTACCTGGAGTAAAATTAAATTCCTCACCTCACCGCAGGGTACAGTGGGAGAGATGGTTGTTATGGGTCACATAAATTCTGCGATGTAAACAGGCCCAGTTTAATCAATTATTGATTTAATAAGTGTCAAAAAAACTAATGGCTTTGTAACAACATAAAGTACAATTAATTATTGCTTTAGAGTCGTCATCCTATTTCAAAGTTATCACAGTAGCTATACTCAAATATGAAACGAATAAAAGTAGAAGACACACATTTTTATTTTCTAGACGCTTTGATGCCATGCTATTATGTCATGTACATTTGTTCCTATTTTAAGAACAGAGCAATAATTCATTTTATTGTTGAAGTTAAAGTAACGTTAAAATTATGATGTTTTAATGTTTAAAGGGAAGAAATTAATTTTAAAATGATTTTCCAGTTTAACAATTGAAACAATTTCTTACGGAATGAACTCGTTGAATTCTAGTTCGGAGGAATGTATGCATGTTGCACATGCTATATAATAAATATATTGTAAATATATTATAAATATATTATAAGTTTATTATAAATACATTATAAATAAATTATTATAAATAAGGATTGCTGCAAGGCATTAAACATCATGTAAAGTTAGATTCTGAAATATATTATAATGTTTTAATTGGAAGCTGATTCTTCACATATATTTTATATATATGTTATGTTTAACTGGCCAAACGGCTGAACCAAATTGGCTGACATTTTTGAGGGAACCCTTGCGTACCCCGGTAATAACATAGGTTAAATAAGTCTAATTTTGTGAATTTCATGATTTCAAAAAGTGGATAAAATGTTTAAAACTTACTAATGTCAACTGTTCTCCAGGATATTCTTCCTCTTGTTCTTCTCCCCATCCCGCCAACCAGGCATCCACATCTACATTATCATACAGGAGACTAAGTTCAGCTTTCTCAGAGTCTCAGGTTCAGCCTTGGGTTCACTCCTGGTCCAGGTTTCAGGTCTGTCTCTTCAGGGTCCCAGATTCAGCCTTGGTTTCTCTCTGGGTTCTGGGTCCACGTATATATATTATCAGGGTCCCAGATTAAATTTTGAGGGTTTTTCAAGTTCAAGGCGTTGTATTGGCTTTACTCCAGGTTTTATTTAAGTTTTTTATTCCGGGTCTCAGGTTTTGGTCTTTCAGGTCTTACTTTTGATTCATTTCAGATCCATTTTTGTTTAGTCTAGGTTTCCTCCAGGTCCAAGATTTAGCCTTGGTTTCCTCTAGATCCTAGGTCTAGCCTAGGTTTCCTCTAGTTCCAAGGTCTAGCCAAGGTGTCCTCTAGGTCCAAAGTTTACTCCAGGTTCAAGGTTAGTCAGTAGACTTCTAATCAACCGCCTTTACTCAGTCTAAAAACATAAATTATAGTTTGCATATAGTTTGCATATAGTTTGCATATAGTTTGCATATAGTTTGCATATAGTTTGCATATAGTTTGCATATAATTTTGCATATAGTCTGAATCTTATATTTGAATGACCATGTGCAAGTATATTTGAAAGCACTTACAGAATTAAGAGATTGTTCAAATTTTAGAACTAAATCAAAATATAGTTCTGCGAGTTAATCAAGCTGACAGTAAATCAATTTATCCTCTTGTCGATTCTCCCTTTTTACATCACCTCCCCTTTACATGGTCGCTCTCCTTTTTATCAATTCTTGGCAATGCATCTGATTACTACGAGGGGAGAAGAATGTTTGGAATTGCCTGAAAATAAGAGGAGGAAGCATAGACAACATACTTAATAGACGGAGTAGTTAAATTCTTAAAGATTTAGATTTAGAAATTAGTCTATGTAGACTTGTAGAGGATCAAAGATTTGTTAAGTCTATGTAGGGGATCATAGAGTTGTAAAGTCTGTGACGAAATTAGTGTATGAAGGGGATCAGAGATTTTTAAAGTCTGTGATGAAGTTAGTCTATGAAGAGCATCAGAGATTTGTAAATCTTTTATGTAATTAGTCTATGAAGTGGATCAGAGATTTATAAAGTCTGTGATGTAATTAATCTATGAAGAGGATCAGAGATTTGTAAAGCCTATGATGTAGTTAGTCTATGAAGAGGATTAGAGATTTGTAAAGCCTATGATGTAATTAGTCTATGAAGAGGATTAGAGATTTGTAAAGTCTGTGATGAAATTAGTCTATGAAGAGCATCAGAGATTTGTAAAGTCTGTGATGTAATTAGTCTGTGAAGAGGATTTGAGATTTGTAACGTCTTTGATGTAATTTGTCTATGAAGTGGATCAGAGTTTTGTAAAGTCTTTGATGTAATTAGTCTATGAAGTGGATCAGAGATTGATAAAGTCTGTGACTTAATTAGTCTATAAAGAGGATCAGAGATTGATAAACTCTGTGATGTAATTAGTCTATGAAGTGGATCAGAGATTGATAAACTCTGTGATGTAATTAGTCTATGAAGAGGATTAGAGATTTGTAAAGCCTATGATGTACTAAGTCTATGAAGAGGATCAGAGATTGATAAAGTCTGTGATGTAATTAGTCTATGAAGTGGATCAGAGATTGATAAAGTCAGTAATGTAATTAGTCTATGAAGAGGATTAGAGATTTGTAAAGTCTGTGATGTAATTAGTCTATGAAGAGGATTAGAGATTTGTAAAGTCTGTGATGTAATTAGTCTATGAAGAGGATCAGAGATTATTAAAGTCTGTGATGTAATTAGTCTATGAAGTGGATCAGAGATTGATAAAGTCTGTAATGTAATTAGTCTATGAAGTGGATCAGAGATTGATAGTGATGTAATTAGTCTATGAAGAGGATCAGAGATTGATAAAGTCTGTAATGTAATTAGTCTATGAAGTGGATCAGAGATTTGTAAAGTCTTTGATGTAATTAGTCTATGAAGTGGATCAGACATTGGTAAAGTCTGTAATGTAATTAATCTATGAAGTGGATCAGAGATTTGTGATTTAATTAAAGATCTGAAACTAATGAACCCTGATTTAATATTCTAAATATATATGCATATACTCCTCACACTTCAACAAACCTGTAGGGGGGGGGGTGACGGCGTTATAGCTGGGCCATTTTTGATCATTTTTATAAAGAAAGTAAATTTATTTTTATTTGAACGTTTGCATAAAGAAGAAACAAAAGATCTAAATTGCGCACATGTTTCAGTCAAAGTATTTAAACGTTAAGTTTTTGAAAACCTGGTTGACTGAAAAGTGTTGTTTTTATATCAATAATCTTAGAAACGATATTTACATAGAGAATAGAATATATATAGAGAGGAATTAAAAGAACCTCTCGGTATGAATTTTTTCAGTCCCTTTCAGCCTGAAAGGGAGTTCAAAGTGTACAAATCATGTAAATGTTCACAAATTATATGCAGTAGGGTACATTAATACAGTATGTTCCCTAGACTATTCATTTAAATTTCGAATTTTTTAAACCGTTTTATAAACTTTATAATGAATTAGGTGAATAAAAACATCATTTGATTTATAGTTATAACGGAAAATCATCGTTTGTAAAGTGGAAGGCATAGAGTCTATGTGAAATGATCATTGGTCAATTATGAAACCAGCCTATTTCATAATTTGATTTTCTTTTAACAATAATTTTAGATTTTCTATAAAATGATATTCCAGGGCCCAACAGGTTATATAGCATAAATATGTGAAGTACACCTGCAGTATGGAAACAGTACAACAAAATGGCCGTTTTACACTTTTTTCCAGTAAATTCCTCTCTATATATTCTATTCTCTATGGATATTTATCATAAATTGATATTCACACTACGAGATAAACATGATCAGGATTTATTAGGAGAAAAAACATACTTATGTAATATGTTAATCCTCTCGACTTCGTTTTCATTTTTTTTCTCATCATGTCATTTTCCCACTATTTTCCATTCTTTTGGTATCTTTTCCAGTTCAAATCCTGTTTTTTCCCATTTACATCAATGTTCTTTAATTCATTCCATTACCATCCCGTTACTCTTCTTTCATCTTTTCCACCCTTTCCCTCTGTTTTTCATACTTTGCCTCCGGTAAATCCCCCTCCCATGGTTCCAAGAATAAATTGTTAGTAGTTTAGTTTAAATGATCTTAACGGCACAAAAATAGGTCAGATCATTTCTATGTTAAACCCTGATAACGTTGTAAATCTAGGAGTAAGGGGGGGAGCTAAATCTAGGAGGGAATGGGGGGGTAAATCTAGGAGTAAGGGGGGGAGTAAATCTAGGATGAGGGGTTTGTAAATCTAGGAAAAGGGGAAGTGGGTAAATCTAGAAGGAAGGGGGGGGGGAGTAAATCTAGGAGGAGGGGCGGTAAATCTAGGAGTAAGGGGAAGTGGGTAAATCTAGGAGGAGGGGCGGCAAATCTAGGAGGGAGGAGGGGCGGCAAATCTAGGAGGGAGACGGGGGAAAATCTAGGAGGGTGGGATAAATCTAGGCAATCTGAGCTGAAAACTTTAGAATAGTGGATATCAAGATTAATGATTGATCTCCCCTTTTTCTAAATCTCCAGATTAATTGTTGCCTGTTTTCAATACTGATCGGGATTAAGGATATCCCATTCTAAAGTTTTCAGCTCTGATTATATCCAGTATTCCATGGTATTCTGATTATATCCAGTATTCCATGGTATCCTGATTATATCCAGTATTGATCCATGGTATTCTGAATATATCCAGTATTCCATGGTTTCCTGATTATATCCAGTATTCCATGGTATCCTGATTATATCCAGTATTGATCCATGGTATCCTGATTATATTCAGTATTGATCCATGATATTCTGAATATATCCAGTATTCCATGGTTTCCTGATTATATCCAGTATTCCATGGTATCCTGATTATATTCAGTATTGATCCATGGTATCCTGATTATATCCAGTATTCCATGGTATTCTGATTATATCCAGTATTCCATGGTATTCTTAATATATCCAGTATTCCATGGTTTCCTGATTATACTGATTGTCACGCAGAAAAAGAATGATAATGATGCCAGGTTCAGGGACTACAGGGATACTTCTATACATTTATAATTATTTTTAATTTATTTTTGAAATGAACTAGAGTAGGTTTTAAGTCGTATTTTTATAATACTTTATTAAAGTTGGATAAGCAGACCCAGTTTAGAATATATTGAATGTTTATTAGAGACCCCTGGCGTGAGAATAAATCTATTTATCCCAATCCCTTTCCATCCTTTTCACACATATTCACTAAATCACAGCAAAAACTTTTTTTCCTTTATTTCAAATTTTAGGAAGCATCCAATAATAGAGTAAAAAACTGTACATAAAATTGTAACTTGAACACGCATTGATTTCATAAATATTGATATTTTGTAACTTTCTACAATTCTGAGGAACATAAAATCGCCAAATTTCACTAACATACAGGGTGTAAATCAATGGCGGTAATGGCCCAGTTTATAGGGACTGTAGAATTAATTTCTAGTGACCCTCTATTCAAATGAAGAGTGGCATTTACGATGCACAATTGTAACAATTGCCTTTTAACTCTTCTTTCGAATAAGTATGAAAGTATGAATGTTTAGTTTCAAGTGTGCTTGTTCTATATGTAGTTTAGTAACTTCAACCTTTAGCTTTATGTAGTTTAGTAACTTCAACCTTTAGCTTTATGTAGTTTAGTAACTTCAACCTTTAGCTTTATGTAGTTTATTAACTTCAACCTTTAGCTTTATGTAGTTTAGTAACTTCAACCTTTAGCTTTATGTAGTTTAGTAACTTCAACCTTTAGCTTTATGTAGTTTAGTAACTTGAACCTTTAGCTTTATGTAGTTTAGTAACTTCAACCTTTACCTTGTCGTTTTTAAAAGAGTTTTATGTCTCAACCATGATGGGTAGCACTGGAGGAAAACCACGATATTTTTCTCGTTAGTTCTCAGATCTTGCTTGATTGGACTTGCCACATTTTTAATTGAGCGTTACATTGATATGAAGTATTTAAAATGTTTATAATCAATGAAATTAATATTTTGATTTTTCTAAACTTTAGTTTCCAGGAGTCACGTCGTCTTTTTCAGCAATAATTCATTTTTCTATTTACTTTTAATCATTGGCCTTTGCTTGCTTTGTAAGTTTAGAATGAGAGGGAGAGGAAGGAGGAGGTCAGTGAGGGAGGGGAAGGGAGGAGGAAAGCATGGGGGGGAAATTAGAAAATTAGAGGTAGGGGAGAAAGGAAAAGGAAGGAAGAGGGGAAGGGAGGGGAAAAGAAGAGGGTAATTATAGAAAGGGTAGAGAGGGGGGGGTAGTCGGAGGAATCTGATATAAAGAATTAAGTAAGTTGATTAAAAAAGTTTTTAAATTGAATTAAAATGAATTAAAACTCTGTTCTCATTTTAGTTAAAGGAGGGAGAAACTAGAGTGAAGAATTAAATCAAAGTTGTTTTTAGAAAAACTGGAAAATTTTATGGTTTATTCACCGTTATAATCACTGAACAAGTTTGAAATTGGATGTACATAGATATTGTCATTGTATGTATGAAAAAAAAATTCAAATATTGAATTAAACTAGAAGGGGCAAAAATGTTATTCTTATGTCTTCTATTGATAACTTTTCATTGCAGTTTCGGTTTTTAGTTGACTTGCGGATTTATGCACCAGAGACAAGTAAGAAAATTGACGAATTGTATAGATGACGCCCCAAAAGGGTACCGATAAAAGATAGGCATGGAACCCATTAATTGCTTTCTCAGTTTATGAAGATTGATTATCATCATCATCAAAATCAATTATAACAAAACGTTCCTCCCCTTTGATGCATTTCATCAATAATAAATGCATTTATGAGAAGTATTTCGGGAATGAATTTATAAATACAGTGAGAACTAGAGGAATGTGGAATTAATGTCGTCTTTATAAATACAGTGAGAACTAGAGAAATGTGGAATTAATGTCGTCTTTATAAATACAATGAGAACTAGAGAAATGTGGAATTAATGTCGTCTTTATAAATACAATGAGAACTAGAGAAATGTGGAATTAATGTCGTCTTTATAAATACAATGAGAACTAGAGAAATGTGGAATTAATGTCGTCTTTATAAATACAATGAGAACTAGAGAAATGTGGAATTAATGTCGTCTTTATAAATACAATGAGAACTACAGAAATGTGGAATTAATGTCGTCTTTATAAATACAGCGAGAACTAGAGAAATGTGGAATTAATGTCGTCTTAATAATACAACGAGAACCAGAGAAATGTGGAATTAATGTCGTCTTTATAATTACAATGAGAACTACAGAAATGTGGAATTAATGTCGTCTTTATAAATACTGTAAGAACTAGATAAACGTGGAATTAATATCATCTTTTTAAATACAGAGAGAACTACAGAAATGTGGAATTAATGTCGTCTTTAAAAATACTGCGTGAACTAGATAAATGTGGAATTAATGTCGTTTTTATAAATACAGCGAGAACTAGAGAAATGTGGAATTATTGTCGTCGTTGTTCTTCCTTTTACTCCATTTATTTCGCAAAGGATGTGATAATGTAATTTTTAAACTGATATATTTCTCAAATTATTTAGGCATTTTTGAAAAAATTTAGTTGAAAATCATAAAATTCCTTGCAATATTTTATAAATGGCACTGTTTCCTGGTTGTCACTGTAAGATAAAAAAAAAACATATCATGAAATGTAATATACTAGAAATTCAAGGCGCTTCGCGCCCTTCTTTCTAGCCTTAGAGGGCGCTTCGCGCCCATCTTCTAAATTAATTGTAAACATGTTCTCTTTGTGTACATCGTAAAACTAAACAAAAATAATTCGCGGATTTTTACAAAAAATTTCGCGGATTTTCAAAATTTTAAAAAATTTAATGACGATCGAATTTTGATAGAGACAAATATTTGAAATTTTGATGATTCATAAACCTTCCCTGGGCTCCCTAGATGTCCCACAAAAAATTTGGGCCCGATCGGTTCAGCCGTTTTGACGTTTATTGGATACAAACAAACAAACAGACAAACAAACAGACAGACAAACAAGCCAAATTTATATATAGATATATATTCTGACGGACTTCTTAAATTTGAAAAGAAATAAGAAATGTTGACCGTGCCTTTGGAAAATATACAAAACAAGGATATTTGAAAACATATGAAATTTCACAGGTTCATGCAGGCGCTCAAGATTTTAAAGAAAATATTGTTTTAGGACAAGATGCACTTTGTGTCATTTTTCAAGAATGATTAAATCTTAGAAGAAGGTGTGAAGGGGGGGTTAAAAAGAATAATCATAAATTATCTAATTAAACTTAGCCTGGAAAAAACTAAAACTTAATTAATTCTAAACTTAATTACAAACAGTTTCTAAAAATTTTGGTTGGATTTAATTCAAATTAGTTAATTAACCTATTTCAAAATTTATCAAAAATTATATATAATAGGCTTTCAGGATGCTTTGCACCCATATTCTATTTCAATTGTGAATATTTCTCTTTGTATACATTTTAAAACAAAAACAAAAAAAGGTCGCGGATTTAAAAAAAAAATTCGTGGATTTTTATAATTTAATGGAAATCGAATTTTGTTGGAGGCTAATTTTAAAATTTTTTACCATACATAAACCTTTCCTGGGGTCATTTGTTCCCGTTTACTGGATATAAACAAACAAACAAACAGACAAGCAAAGTATAAATAAAGATACCAGGCTTTTAGGGCACTTTGCACCTTCTTTTCTAATATCAATTTTATTATTAACTATTGCTTTGAAAGTCGCAACTTTTAATAATTCTAAAATTTTCAAAAATAATAAATGTCGACATTTTTTCAAATTTTCAAATTTCGACGGTCTATGAACTTTCCCTAGGGTCATGTAAGTTGCGACAAAAATTGGACCCGATCGGTTTGAACGGTTTGACTTTTATTGGATACAGCCGATCAGACCGATCAGACAATCCAAGTATATATTTACTATATTTATAAATGCTACTTAAATATCGTTTTAAATTAAGAAACAAAGAATTTTTCTTAATAATTAACATTTAGAAAAAAAAACGTAAAACACAACTATTTCATTGATTTATTTGCTAAGAATATTTTAGTTAATTTAGATTAAAACAATATTGTTTAATGTAAAATATATATATACTACCTCATCAAATATTGGGGAAGTATATCTATACTAAATCTGCTCAGGAGAAATGTCAAACAATATCCAGCTCGATATCCTTTGATATTCTTGCTTCAACGTGGATATTCTTGCTCCAGGTTGGATATCCAAAAGGTTCGGAGATATCTCGTATACTGAGAGTTGAGAGGGAATAAATTTGGAGGTTCCATCATAGTTCTCCGGGTATACTTCTGAACTATTCTCCGGGAATGCTTCTATCCTATACTCCGGGTATACTTCTAAACTATTCTCCGGGTATACTTTTATCCTATACTCCGGGAATACTTCTATACTTTTATTCCTGGTATACTTCTAAACTATTCTCCGGATATACTTCTATACTGTACTCCAGGTATACTTCTAAACTATACTCCGCGTATGCTTCTTTACTATGCTCTGGGTAAACTTCTATTCTATTCTCCTGATATACTTCTATACTAAACTCCGGGCATACTTCTCAACTCCGGATATAAAGTAGTGTCGATAATTATTCTTTACCCTTGTTCATTTTTTGCTCTTACATCTCTAAGTTTACTAAGCACTTTGTTTGCCTGACGCACTTCTCAATAATTCCCAAAGGCAAATTGTTTAATGTACAATTTCCCTTGTTTCCAGAATATCATACTCTCACAGCTCAGTCACTTAGAGTGTTCTATTTTCAGTGTTTAGTCCCATAGAGTGTTCTATCCTAGGTTGTCTTTCTTCCCATAGAGTGTTCTATTCTCAGTGTTTAGTCCCATAGAGTGTTCTATCCTCAGTGTTTAGTTCCATAGAGTGTTCTATTCTCAGTGTTTAGTCCCATAGAGTGTTCTATTCTCAGTGTTTAGTCCCATAGAGTGTTCTATTCTCAGTGTTTAGTCCCATATAGTGTTCTATCCTCAGTGTTTAGTCCCATAGAGTGTTCTATTCTCAGTGTTTAGTCCCATAGAGTGTTCTATTCTCAGTGTTTAGTCCTATAGAGTGTTCTAATCTCAGTGTTTAGTCCCATAGAGTGTTCTATTCTCAGTGTTTAGTCCTATAGAGTGTTCTATTCTCAGTGTTTAGTCCCATAGAGTGTTCTATTCTCAGTGTTTAGTCCCATATAGTGTTCTATTCTCAGTGTTTAGTCCCATAGAGTGTTCTATTCTCAGTGTTTAGTCCCATAGAGTGTTCTATTCTCAGTGTTTAGTCCCATAGAGTGTTCTATTCTCAGTGTTTAGTCCCATAGAGTGTTCTATTCTCAGTGTTTAGTCCCATAGAGTGTTCTATTCTCAGTGTTTAGTCCCATAGAGTGTTCTATTCTCAGTGTTTAGTCCCATAGAGTGTTCTATTCTCAGTGTTTAGTCCCATAGAGTGTTCTATTCTCAGTGTTTAGTCCCATAGTGTTCTAATATTAGCGCTCGTCTTCATAAAGTGTTTTATCTGTAGAACATGGTTTAGAACATGCATAAATCTAACCTTTGAGAGATTACTTGATAACCCTGAAAACATTTTAATATTCTGTGAATTGAGAAAAAAATCAGCATTTTCCGAAAACAATTAGGGTACTTTAAGCGTAGTTTGTCAGAAAGAAAAGCAATATATAGTTAAAGATTTCATTTTTTTGGGCCAGATACCTAGTTTTTTTTAAAATTTCCTGACAAACAAGTTTGATAGTAGTCATAAAAAATAGGGTAAAAGTTATTGTGTTTGAACATTGAGAGAGTTATAACTTTCAAACTCGAGCTGAAAACTTTAGAATTATGGATATCCTTAATCCCGATCGGTTAATGAGAACAAGCATTTTTTAATCTGGAGATTAAGAAAAAGAGAGGATCAAGCATTGATCTTAATATCCACCATTCTAAAGTTTCAGCTCTGATCTCATCTTTTACTAATCTCAAGATTAATATAATCTTTAGTCTGTAACTAGAAAATTTTATAAAACTTCTGAGCTATGAGTTGAACATTTAAATTTAAAAATGAAAAAAGTCTTCAAATAATTTTCCCTCTGAAAACAGATGGTTGAGTCAAGTTTGAACAAGATTCTGTTCTGGATAACTTGTATTTATTCGGAATTTGATTTTTTCTCTTTTATAGTTGTAGCAAGGAAATTAAATACTATTGATTCTATCTTTGAACAGTCTAGTCATTCTTTTAAGATTGGTTTCCGCTGAGAAACAAAGTTTTATAAATCCCTAATCCTAGTTTATGTCTCTGGGTCGAGCATAGAACAGTAGAAATAATGGATTATCTGAGAAGTCTGGTTCTATTGACTATACAAGGATATTATGATATTTTACGATTCAATGAGTAATTATTGATTTAAAGGTTTTAGAGAAGGAAGGAATTTTCTTTCCGTTTCTGGAATAGAAAAATAAGAACAAGACATCTTCAATTTAAAATGTTAGATATAAAATAAAGTTTTATAAAAAAAATCCTTCTCAACCGTCTCCTTAATGCGTCCCAACTTTATCTCCTGTATCGGTCCGATCCTTCTCCTCTTCTCTTATGAATCTCTCCACAACATTCTTTTCTGTATCGGTCCCATCCTTCTCTCCTTCTCTTCTGTATCGGTTTCATCCTTCTCCCCTTCTATTCTGAATCTGTCATTAACCTTCTCTTCTGTATCGGTCCCATCCTTCTCCCCTTCTCTTCTAAATCTGTCATTAACCTTCTCTTCTGTATCGGTCCCATCCTTCTCCCCTTCTCTTCTAAATCTGTCATCTTCTGTATCGGTCCCATCCTTCTCCCCTTCTCTTCTAAATCTGTCATTAACCTTTTCTTCTGTATCGGTCCCATCCTTCTCCCCTTCTCTTCATATTTCATATTTCATATTTTTATTCAACTAAAAAGCACGAGATAATACAAATAACAAAAACTAAAATTTACTATGTAGTTTGGACCCGCCTAACCAGAGTAGGTTGTTTTAATTGGTTGGCCCACTATAAACGAATGAGAATTATCTATATCAGTCCCATCCTTCTCCCCTTCTCTTCTTAATCCATCCCATCCTTCTCTTCTATATCGGTCTCATCCTTCTCCCCTTCTCTTCTGAATCCGTCCTATCCTTCTCTCCTTAAGTAGTCTCAATCTTCTCTCCCGTTTCGGTCCATTTCTTTTCCACATATCTCCTAAATTCTTTCTAACTTTCTCTCCTATGTCTGGCCAATCTTTCTCCTTATAACTCCTGTGTATATCCGAACATTATCTCCTGAATCTGTTCGATCCTTCTTTCCTGAATCCATCTCATCCTTCTCTCATAAATCCGACCCAACCTTTTTTACTGAATCAGTCCCATCCTTCTCTTCTGAATTCGTAACATCCTTTTCTCCTGAATACGTCTCAGCTATCTCTCCTAAATCTGTCCCAACCTTCTCTCCTAAATCCGGCCCATCCTATTTCTCCTGAATCCGTTCCAACCTTCTCTCCTGAATTCATCTCATCAAACCTTCCAGCTTCCTTCCAGGATATGTTTAACTCTTTAGCTGAACCAAATAGAACAAAATCATATAAACTTGAACGGGTTCTCTTTAAACCCCTAGAATGTTTTCCCTCTGCTTTATTTCCAAAAATATGGAATTCGATTGAATTAGAGCTGAAAGAAACTAAATCTGCAAAATCGTTTAAAAGAAAAGTCGCCAAGATCTATTTAGATAGTTATGCAAATTATATCTGTAAAAAAGACTGTGTATCATGTGGATAAACTTAGTCTTTACTATCTTCTTCACCCTGTAGTTCATAAAAATGATTCTAATAACTTATATTACCCTCTGTTCCAACCCTTACGCTGAGTATCCTCCCTTTTCTTTATACTCCCTCACCTCCTCCTTACCTTTTACCTGATTTATTATCATTCTTATGTTTAAAATGTACAATGTACATTGTTTTTATCTGAAATTCTCATTCGTTTATAGTGGGCCAACCAATTAAAACAACCTACTCTGGTTAGGCGGGTCCAAACTACATAGTAAATTGTGATTTTTTTATTTGTATTATCTCGTGCTTTGTAGTTGAATAAAAAATATGAAATGAATCTCTCCTGAACCCGTCCCAACCCTCTCCTCTGAACCCGTTCCATCCTTTTCTGCTGAATCCGTCCCAACCTTCTCTCTACTGAATACTGGAAGTGAATGATAGATCTCTAGATTATGATAATTCCTATGATTGAGTGAATTGAATATAGGATAAATCTTATTATGATCTACTAGATCTACTGGATATCAAGGATACTGGATGAAACAGTATCAACTTGTATCTTATAACCACTAACAACAACTATTTATCCAGCATCTAGTATGAACTAGTATCTAGTATCCACCAGTTACAATTATGTATCCAGTATCTCAGTATCCTTCTACTACAATTATGTATTTAGTATCTAGTATCTAGTATCTAGTATCTAGTCTAGTATCTAGTATCTTGTATCTGGTATCTGGTACCTAGTATCTTGTATATCTAGTATCTAGTATCTAGTATCTAGTATCTAGTATCTAGAATCTAGTATCTAGAATCTAGTATCTAATATCTAGTATCTAGTATCTAGTATCTAGTATCTTTTATATGGTATCTAGTAACTAGTATCTAGTCTCTAGTATCTAGTATCTAGTATCTAGTATCTAGTATCTAGTATCTTTTATTAGGTATCAAGGATCTAGGATCTAATATCTAGTATCTACTATCTAGTTTCTTGTATCTAGTATCTAATATTTAGTATCCAGCATCTAGTATCTCGTATCTAGTATCATGTATTCTCTTAGTATCACTATGATGCACTATATAGTATCTAGTATCTAGTATCTACTGTCTGGTATCTAGTATCTGGTATCTTGGATCTAGTATCTAGTATCTAGTATCTGGTATATGGTATCTGGTATTTAGTATTTAGTATCATATATTCTGTTAGTATCACTGTGATGCACTTTCTAGTATCTAGTATCATGTATTCTCTTAGTATCTCTATGATGCAATTTCTAGTATCTAGAATCATTTATTCTCTTAGTATCACTATGATGCATCATATAGTATCTATAGTATCTAGTATCACGTATCCAATATCTAGTATTTAGTATCCAGTATCTAGTATCTAGTATCTACTATCTAGTATCTAGTATCTAGTATCTAGTATCTAGTATCCAATATCTAGTATTTAGTATCCAGTATCTAGTATCTAG